GACCTATTCTAGCACTCAGCCATATTCAACAGCACACTGATACCTTACTCACCTATTCCAGCAAACAGCCATACTCAAAGCCACACTGATACTCTTACTCACCTATTCCAATACTCAGCCATATTCAACAGCACACTGATACCTTACTCACCTATTCCAGCAAACAGCCATACTCAAAGCCACACTGATACTCTTACTGACCTATTCTAGCACTCAGCCATATTCAACAGCACACTGATACCTTACTCACCTATTCCAATACTCAACCATATTAAACTCCACACTGATACCTTACTGACCTATTCTAGCACTCAGCCATATTCAACAGCACACTGATACCTTACTCACCTATTCCAGCAAACAGCCATACTCACAGGCACACTGATGTCGTACTCAATCAACTAACCTATTCCACAAATCAGCCACACTTGGAACCAACATGCTGTCTTAAATGAATAATAATATTACATAAACTACAAGGTAATAGAAATAAATGTAGAATACAGGCCTGTGTTTACCGAAGCTTAAAGCTAATAATGCTGTATCAATATAAAAAAAAGTATGGTTACTGCAGGAGTTAGTGGAATTTTACTCAACCTTATACTTTCTGAGGCTTGTGTGCAGAGGCTGGAATTTAAGACTTGCTCACAATCATAAAACATACAGCAGTGTGGCTACAATGATCCAATTCAGGAACATCATTAATCAAATATGAAAAAATGTCTGCATACTTGACGATCTGATCTCTGCAGGACAGAGTTCACAGTGATGGACCAGTGAACAAACACAAAAAGCCCAGTAAACGAATCAGGGGGGGAAAAAAGACATAAGTAACTAGAGATAATTAATCATTCTGATGACAGCAAAAAACAGAACCGACAACAATGCCCCAAACACAAAAATAACAGCACAAAGAACAGAAGAGAGCTATTTGGTGTTTCCAACATTCACACACAATGCACAACAGATGGCAAAAGGAGGAGGGAAAAAAAGGAGAAAAGTTTATTTATGAGAGTTCCTCAAATGAAAAGACAAACTCTGCCCCTTTCCTGGATTCCAGCAGCGAATTCCATTGGTTGTGGCTCAGTGAAAATATTCCTTTTCTGCTGGGCCTGGCCAGCCGGCCTGGCTGCATAATAGACGCATCCGCTTTGGACACTGTTGCCCAGACAGGGTCAGAATATAATATCTGCATGCCCTCCCCCTTTGAGACTCGCGTTGGCCCCAAACAGCTTTAGGACTGGTTAAAGCGCACGCGCCCTCACTCACACACACACACACACACACACACACACACAGACCTGCGGCAACACAAGAGATTGCGTTCTAAAGGGTCTGGCGTCCTATTTTCCTGACTGAATACTATAATAAATTTCGATTTAGGTGAAAGCAGACAGAGGCAGATCTGCCTTATTTCACATGCGCTCCATCGTCTGAATGACGAAGCCATGAAGGAATTGGAAATACCAAAAAAAAAAAAAACATCTGAGAGACATGTGTGACAGGAAGCCAGGGACTCGGAAAGTGACGAGCGAGAAGGTCGCCAGCTGGATTCCTGGACCCGGGTGTGTGTGTGTCTGTGTGTGTGTGTGTGGTGTGTGTGTGTGTGTGTTGGGGGGGGTGATTTCAGTCACAGATTTCCTCAGCAAAAAGCTAAAAGCTAGTCTGTGAAAGCATCCTGAACACGTAACAGCATATGCAAATCATTCTACATGACTGTGTAAAACGTAGTCTGAGCATCTGAGGGCCAACCCACAGCCAGCCGCAAGGAAATACCCTAGACAGTCTTCCTGAAGCCCCCCCCCCCAAAAAGCCCAAAAAATGGCTACCAGATTCGTAGAGGAACTTGATCAAGATATCAAAGCTGTTCAGTTTTTCTATAACTTTGACACTTCAGGTTTTTATAGCTCCTCTCAGCCTCGTTACACCCCATACTGAAGCAATTTCATGGTGCAGAAAAGTCTCGGTCCTTCCTGGAATACCTGCAGGGCCCAGGGGACTAAAAAGGGAAATGTGGCACCACAGTCCAGTAGTGCCTATTTTACATTAAAAAAACACAATTAACATGATCAATGCAACAACAATAAGAAAATATGTTAACCAAAAATAATGTGCACTTAGGCACATGCTTAAATGATCAGCTGGAAAATGAACTCGGGAAAAAATTACTTCCTGTATTCAGGGGTATTACAACTACAGACCATAAAAACAAGAACCTTTAAAAAGTTTCCCATCCTGCCCCTCGACTCCCCGAAGTGCGAATTGAGACTCCTCCAGATAAACGTGTTCGGGTCACCCGTGTGCAGTGGTTTCGTGTTTCAGAGAAGACCCATGCCGGCACGAATGCGCTGCGCAGGTCAATTATGCACCTACTCTGCTCTCGAGCTGGGCTGCCAGTAGATAGGGAGCCGGCAGATCGCATAATCACTCCTACGCATTTCAAAGTCGCATGAGGGGCTGGCGAGGCGGGAGGAAGCACTCGACAGCAGGTGCCTGATGAAGGACTGTCAAAAAGCCATCTTTGTTTTCAGAGTGGAAAGACAAGGAGGGTTAAGTGCCCGCCTGAGGTTCACTGCACGTGGGGACCAAGGTGTGCTCCTGCAGAACCTTCCGGATGCTAGGCATAGAAAAAAAGTGTCTGTTCTGGGGTGAAACTACATTTTCCCTCCATTCACAGTCATGCACTGAAACCACTGGAGGTATTCTGCCTGGGCCAACAATTGCCAAAAAAAAAAGTGCTTTACTGATATTTTGGGTAACTTTTTTCCCACAGAGTAAGGCTGAAACCAAAACAGTATGTAGGTCAAATTACAGGGAGGGCCGCAGAAAGGAACGTTCACGTATCACGAGGAGACACACAGGCCCCCGTCCGTCATCTCCTGCCTGTGCCGCCTCTGGCAAACTCATGCACACGCACACACATGCAGCCACGCACACACACACACAACTTTGCAGATTGTCCTCAACTATGCCTCATGCTCCAGCCCCAATCCGACGGCTGAGCTTGCGGCGACCCCTGGGACTGCACAGATACAGGAGCCCTTATCCTCTAAGCACAGAACCTAGCCTTGGCTAATTAACACTCAGGGTCAGACTTAAGATCTATACTGATCTACTACACGAGGGAGAGTCCCGTGTCACTGGTCCTAAGTTCATTCCTAAAAATCAATGATTATAGTGCAATTCACCAATGTCCCCCGCCTCACCGTGCACTTGATTGATCTCCGAATTCTGTGAGAGGATTTCGTCGGCTAGCTTCTGGGCGGTGGGCAGCACCTGCGTATGGTGCACGGTGATCAAATACTGAACGAACTTCTGCAGCTGGTCCCGGCTCATCTGAAAGAGCGTCTCTGAAATGGGCAGGTGCAGCTTGACGCGGTCCGGCTGCCGGATGCGGTACAGCGACAGCGCCACCACATGAGCACAGTAGAAGATGTCCTTGTTGCCGCAGCCGCATGTCACCGAGGTGATCTTGCAGCGGTCGAAGCTGATGGCCACGCTGCACACTGTCTCGGGTTCGGAGGCCGTCGCTGGCTCGGTCACCGTGCCGCTGAGGTGGAAGCCTGGGGGGCGGGAGCAGAAACGCACACGGCTTAATAAAGAGGGACGGGCCTGGATGGAGGGGGCAGGGCAAACGGGGGCTGCCATGGTGTGGGGAGGGGCTACACAGAGGTCGCGCTACCAGGACAGTACCAGGACATACGTACTCCATTCCCATTCCTAAGGGTAAATAGCCCCCCAATCTCCCCATGAGCAACATAAACGCCTGGTGCTTAGCCAATGCAAGGCCACAAAAAAAGGGAATTTCTTCATTATCAGCTGAAATAAACCTAAAAAAAAAAAAATCACATAATAAGTGAACAGTAACAAAATAAGTAAAACAATTATTGTGAATGCAGGTGCCTTAAGGGCCACCCTTTATTTACGATACATAATTTTTAGTGGGTATTTTGGTAAATAATAAACTATTAATTTAGAATACAGAATAACTATTATTATGACATCATCATGTCCAATGTACTGCATGTATAAGACTGATAACGCACAGTTTCATTCATGAAAACAATTTGTGCAGTTACCCTGCAGCAAGGATTCATGGGTAAGACCTGTGTGACAAGGGGAGAAGGCATGCAATTGGGGGGGGGGGTCTTTTCAGAAGGAGCGACGCACCTACACACCGCTTTATCATTAAGTGCCATCTTTATGATTACAGAATGACCCATGTTCTGCAGGTGGTGGGATGTCAGCTGTATGTTGACCACAAGTGTGCCCCCCCCCAGCCCCACCCTCTCGTTCCATGGCGCTCGCAAGCCGGCGCTTAATCCAAAGGCCATTTCAACCCACTCTTTCAAGGGCCAAAACCTATTTGTTCTCTTGCCAAAATCTCCTTGGTAACTCCTTGGAAATGCAATGAGAAGCAAGTAGCAAGTTATTAATATCATAATCATCATCAGGCAAGCATAGGCATAAAAACGAGGCCAACCTTCTGTGCATGAGTAGCATGTAGCGCAGGGCTGCTCTGAACAGGTAGCCCACAGAGTACGGCGGTTACGCATAGCTTAGCCACACAATTAGAGGCTGCGCAGGCCACGTTCCGGAGCGCGCGTAGCTCCCGGTCGCTTTCACTGCATTAATACTCTCCTCGCGGGAGAAAGTCAAAGTTTAAGCCAGCCGTGAATGTGATTCTACTCGGTGACCTTCCAAGCGTGTGACAACGGCTGGGGGGGGAAAAAAAAAAAAAAATCGCCGGGACTCAACCCAATGTGACCAAGATGGAGGAGAACCTCCAAGTGTGACAGGAGTTTCGATCCCAGCGGGGCCCACGATGGAAGACCAGACAGCGGCTCCAGTTTGGGTGGAAAGGGTGCGCGCCCGTCGACACCGCCGTCACACACAGGCAGCTGAGAGGGGGGCTCTCCTCTCACAGTCACACAACATCCACCAGCATCTGGTCTCCCGTCGCCCATCCACAAGACGAAATATCGAAGCTCTCGGAGTGATTCATGACACGGCGAATGCAGTTAGACCAATGATTCACCCAAACCGAATCAATAAAAGCCACCGATTCATTTTTTATAGCGAAGTCAACTCGCTTTCAGACCTTACGCCTCAACAGAGGCTCAGACGCACACACAGCAGTCTGGGGGTCCCTGTTGGAGCACAGCAGGCAGGCGTGGGGGGG